AAAGATTCTATTGTTTCTTTCCCCCCAAATGCCCCACATAATCCCAAAAAACCCGACCCGCCAAAGGAAACTCCCTTTCTCACGGAAGGGAGAATAGTATAGGTGAAATGATCACAACTTGGAATATGATAAACTTTTATTTTAGAGTTTTTGTGTAATTTTATTACTTTCCAATTTTACCCTTTCTGGAACATATTGAATAGGGATATTTTAATCCTTTTGTTATGATTTATGATGTGGCATTTATGGTTTAGTTGGGAGGCTATTAAAGTGTGACCATTACGTTGTTTGAGAGATTGACAGTTTAGATCAATTTTAATGGAATTATAGCAATCGAGCTTTTCTTTTCTAAGTTTAGCTAAGAGCTTCTTGAATCTTTTGCAATTCATGTTTCCTTGGGTTGCATGCAAAAAACATTCAAATAAGATTGATCATCTTATTTTGTGGGGTGTTTTGCCCTTGGGCCAAGGAACTTGTTCTTTGTCTCGAGAGTTTTAGTCTTAAGGCAATCCATGTATGACCTAAACCTTAGGTTGAAATCAAATCGATTTGAGGGTTTTAGTGTTTGTGATTTAGGGGTCCACATGCCCAAAGGGTTTCTAATCCAATTCGCTAGGGGTTTTCACATCACAAAAGGTTCCTAATTCTAATTTGCTAGGGTTTTGACATCAGGAAAGAAAGTCTAGCTTACACTAGTGCATTTCTTCATATAAAAAAAATGTCACATGAAAACAAAATATACATATTTCAGAACTTTGTGTTGTCAGTAGACGTTACATTTGAGCAATGAACCAAATATAAATCATTTATAATTATCTCTATATCATGACCTCTAGTACTGAGGATGAGGTGGTTAATGATGTTATATGTGAATATTAAAAAAAATCTTGGAGCAATGAAGAAAAGGAAAGAAGATGAAAACAAATCAAATAGGTGAACGTTCATCTGAAAGAGACTTACTCCAGCAGGTGGAGTTGGGTTTCGCGTAAACTTAGAACCGCCTGGAGCCCAAGGAACTACAGATTGGAGGAAAAGGAAAAAAATATTAAAAGATTTATAATTGCATAGATACCTTTGACCTAGGAAAAATTGAAATAATACACAATGGAATGGTCCTTATAGCAGGGAGAGGAAGCATTGTGTTTCATAAGCATGCCCACAGCTTAAAAGAGATTGACTAATAGTCATCTACAAACATATTCCTTTGATGTAATCATGCAAAACAATTATCCTTTAACAATAAACTAATGACAATGGCATTGTTAGAAAAAGTGTTACTTTTTGCTATTACATTCTAATGGATATGTTGCAAATAAAACACAAGAATTTTCCATTTCCAAGCATCTTAACAAGCACCATAATATTTCGCTACCGAGCATCCAAATATTCTGGAATCTTATATTATATGATATCCGATGAATAATCCCTCAAGAAAAAGTTAAATTTTCGAGGTTAAATGCTACAATTCCAACCAGCTGAACTGATTCTTTGGAATGAAGAAAAATCATAAGATTTTTATAAACTAACAAATATACGCTCATATTAAGAAGCAGATTTTTATTTATGCATCAGAACGGAGTTCATAACCTAAGAGTTTTTGTAATTAGTCTCTGCCTCTCTCACCCTTAAATTCAAGCAGATTATAAATTTGAGAGATGTCCTTTCTATAATACTGATATCTACAGGACAGATTAAATTAGAAGACCAAGAATTTTAAGAGAGGCTAATTTCATCATTAACGTATGACATAATCAGTAACCGTATTTTATTATACAACATGCAGAGTTTCTCACTTTTGTAAACTTCCACGAAATCCAATCCATTCATGATTCTACTTACCAATATATGGATCAGGATGTCGCCACTTATTATGGGAAGCTTCCCCATGAGCTATAAGTTTGTCTATTGTATCAAGATCTTCCTGCAAATCCACCCAAAGAAGGATCCATAAGCAAAAAGATAAATAATGTAGAAATTGTAGCTTGCACAACCAAAATCTTATCAGTCTATACATGTAGATCCTACACCATATTCAGCACTTGGGTACTTCCTTAATCTGAGGCCTTAGCTAGTTAGCTTTAATTAAGTTCTCTAAAACATAATTGGATCTCTAAGTCCAACTCTGAGTTTACAAAAATCCTCCAAAGCTAAATTTCCTCCTGCTGACCGTCATGAATCTTCGTAGCTCAAAATAAATTTTACTCCATGGATTAGGATTTAGGAGAGAGGTATGCATAAGAAGACTCGCACATAATCAAAATTTCTATGAATATAGTATATCCATAAAAGAACTAAAAAACATCATTGAATATCTGAAGAGGTAAAAATGAATAGTACATTGTATTATTCAATGTCAAAGGGTGTCTTGTATTTATAAAGATTGGGGGGCCATATAATTCTTGAATAAAGGACGTCCCACCGAAATTCCAAGTACATACATTTTGGATGATGACAATCACAATAGCTTCCCAACACGTTATAAGCGTAATATAATCCTTTGTGAGATCCAGGTGAAATTCAAGGATGAATCAACAATGCTAATCCTAGAGAACGAAACTACAAAAGGAACTCATCCAAAACTCGGTCAACTAATCGAATTGCACAATAATTGGTTCCATTATGTCATATCCACATCCCTAGGTCAAATAACTCATAAGAGATGAATGCAGAATATTAGGATCAAAATTGAAGGAAGAGAGACATAGAACGAACCACGTGCTTGTTTGCCTCGAATCTCTCGCGCAGGTCCGAAGCCTGAAACAAGAACAATTCAAAAACAAAATGAAGAAATCAGTTGGAGAAAGGAGAGTAGGATGGATCGATGGAGATGAGAAAATGGGAAAATTGTTCTTACGTCTCGGTAGAAAAGATGGCGATGGACTGCCCAGTTGAGAGTGTCTTTGAGGGCTCGCCGGTACAGAATCCGAACCCTCTCCTTCTGGGCGGCTCGCCGAGCCAAATACCCCGCCGTCGACGAGAAGCTCATCTCTCTCTCTCTCTCTCTCTCTCTCTCTCTCTCGATCACTGTTTTGTTGTGGTTTCAATCTGCACCCACACTGGAGATGACGCCGTTTAACGATTTCGACCGCCCAAAAACGCACCGTTTAATATGGTTTCAAACCTTTATAATGAATTCGAGGAAATTACAAAAATAGCGAATTTGTAAATTAAATTATAAGTCACTTTTTAACTTTTTTTTGAAAAAATAAAAATTAATGATATTTAAATAATTTCCTTATACAAATACTGTTTTCAGCTTAATAATAAATATCTTGGCTAAATCTTTAAAATTTATAATTTATATTTATATTAATTTTCGATTTTGTTATTAACAAAAATCGATAAAATTGAATGGATTTTTTTTAATTTTATGTTGGATGTTTAATATGTGAAAGAAAGTGAGAAAACCATTGCGCATACAAATTTAACATCCAAAAATTAAATTTATATATTAAGAATTTGAAACTTATTTTACATTTGTAACAATTTCATTATTTATTTCATAAAGTTGTTTTTGTTTCAATTTTGTGTTATGTATCTTTATTTTGTTAAAGTTACATGTTGTTAAACTTAAAGTTATACTTCAAATGAGAAGTTTTTTTTTATTTTATTAAAGTTACAATTGTAACTTTATATGTGTTAAATATGCTTGTGAGATCTTACTTGTTATGGACGACTCTATATAGTTGTAGTTTTCTTCATTTGAGATCCAAGCATACCACAATTAGGTATTCTCCTCCTCCTACAAGAATTCTCTCTTCTTTTGAGTTGTTCTTTTTGTTTATGTTGAGAGCAAGTATCTAAGAGTTCTGTCAGATCCGAGTAGTTCGAGGTTGCAGTTCTACAGGAGTTAGTCGTTGTATCTTGCTGAGACGATTGATGTAGTCTGCTAGCAACTTGTGCAGAGCAACTAATTGTCTTCAGATCAGCGCTATTGAAGCGTGCCTCGACTATTTTTATTAAGTTTTAGTATTCATCAAGTTGTTCAAATTTATATCATTTGTAGTCAATTACGTTGTAATATGTTTGTCAGTATTACACAGTTAATATATATTTTTATTGGGTAATTATTTACTGTTAAAAAAAATAAATAGTTGTCTTTTTTCTTTTTTCTGGACAACTTTCTGTCTCTATTTCCTTTCCCTTTTTTTCTTCTTTGGTTTGGCTGATGTCTGTTCAGTTCATGAATAAGGCTTTAATATAAACTTACCTAACAGCACAAAATTTTACTATCATAGAATCAAATTTCAAATTTTACTTTTTGGGAAAACATGATCAAGCATCCATACAGAAAACACATACACATCCATCATATATGATTCTTGCTGCTTCTTGTAATTATCAATTTTTAATCCAAAGAAAGTTACTCGAGATGATTCGAAATTGTTTTTCTTAAATCATCATTCAACCCAAAACTTAAACTGATTGATTAAGATAACTTGTATATTTTATAGATACTTTAACCCTCACTGTCATTTGTGGACAAATTTGCATCACGCCAACAAGTGGTAATCAATATTAAATAGGAAATAAATGACATCACAGGACTTACTATTTTGATACCATAGCTACTGAATGCAAAAGTTTAATATTTTATAGATATTGAATAGTTTTTTATTTTTCTTGTATTGCTGGTAAGAGGTTTAAGATTACTGTCACAAACTAGATTTTGTGGAACAATATACATGGAACCTCTCTTTTGTATAAATTTGTGGCTGCAAATGTTCTTGTTCAAATTTCTCAATTGTTTCTCCTCTCAAGTAACACCAAACTTCAAACCCTCACATCTTTTCGTGAGTAAGAATATCTCAGAATCTTCCAATTGAGCTGCAAAAAAAGCGTACGAGGAACCGATACAACGTCGAGAAAGAACCCGAATCGGGGAGAGAGTGTTTTCAAGGCGAACACGGTGACGACACGATTGAAGTCATAGCTTAGAAAAGATTGTTGTTCAAGTAAGCAGAGCCAAGAGTGATAAATCAAGTAGGAGCCAGAATTCCTGGCCTAGCTTGTTGATGAAATATGGCCATTTTGCAGGCAAGTGGGTGGTTCCCTATTATGCAGTGGTCTCTCTCTCTCTCTCTCTCTCTCTCTCTCTCTGTAGAGATTATATTACAGCTCTGTAATTTAACATTTCCAAATGTTGATGGCAATGATGGAGATATGGTTTTGATATTTTTGTCTTAATGCATAAATCACAAAACAAACTAATGATCCTTTTATACTTTTATGTAAGGGAAATGTTTGTTACATTGAATAATATCATTCTCACTATTTGAAAATTTAAATTAAATTCAGGGATTTATTAGTAATTTAGATAGATAATTGACGCCAAAGTTCCACACAGTTGTTTCGGTTTCCACATCAAAAGCTTTCATAGTTTGATATGTTGGAAGTAATATAACCGCTTAAATATATAAGCCATCTCAATTATGGGAATGTTTGATATGCTAATGGAAATTTCGATGTCTCAATTTACGGAAAGGTTGATATAAAAATTTTAGAAAAATGATGGAAGTTGTAGAAATCGATGAAAATTATTTGTATTGGTAAATAATAATTTAATGTAGCTTAATTAAGTTATAATCGATCACTTTTGACCCTCGTATCTAAACATATAGGCAATATACTTATGGAAATGTTGAAACAAGATAATGAAAATGGATAGAAATTATTTTAATAAGTAAATTGGAGTTCAATGTTTAATTATGTTTTATTAATCATTTTTTAATCATTGTTATCTAAAAGGATACCAACCCTAGTCTTATGAATGTGAAGAATTAAGTGAAAGTAAAAGGTTGTTTATAGTTAGTAAAAACCAATTCTAAAATAAAATAAAATAAAATAAAAATACTTTGAGTGATTGAATATTAGTTTCGGAGTTCGTGTAAGTTTGATTGAAAAATGAAAAATTGATCAATGATTTAGAAATAGGTTTGAAAATTATGTGCATTTAAATTTGAAAAGGTAAATATGTAAAAGTAAAAAATAAATATTAAATCAACAGACCTAGAAATCATAAAATATTATTATAAAAAAAAGACTCATGAGCCATGATCAACGTGTCAGTCCATAGAAAGGGAAAAACGAAATGAGTGGAAATGCCATAAAATGTGAACCAATGATCCATGATAAAAAAAAAGCCAAAAATAAGAACGATGAAGACAAAGATATCATGATGTAAGTTTATTATTCCTTGCATCATAGGTGTTGCTGTAGAAATCCTCAAACAAAATGTTAGACATATTACCCGACATCTAAATCCTTGATTATAGATTCTCGTTCATAAATACGATTATTGAATAAACTTAAGATAATATCGTCTCTTATTCCTCGTGTTTTAATTTTGAACCACAAAATTGAAGAAATTAAAAACTCATTTATTCTCTAGACATATGTTCAGGATTCTTTGGAAAGAAAGCCTTATTATATATATCATAGGCTCATAATGCAAATTGAAGCATCTTACATACTACATAGCATTAACAAGAGCACAAAACTAAACCAAAATCATCACCAACAAAATGTTCATTAAGCTGCTAACATTAACATTAAGAATTACACAAAAATAGTCTTTTTCTTCTTTTGAAATCGCTATAAAAAGCACCATCATAAACACAATAAACAGAGCAATTAGTCTCCAAATTCACCCCATCATCATCATGAATCATCCATCTTTCTTCTATAGAAGTTTCCCCTGAAGAGCTCAGTATGAGTAGTCCTTCACGAACATCCCCTGGTTGGCCTCCTCGGACTCGCCCTCGCCGGTGTACTTTCCAAGCTGCGCGAGCGAGTTCGCCTTAGCTCGGAGAATCAGAGCATCCTGTGCCGACTTCACATTCTCCGGCCGGCCGCCCCATGTCTTCAAGCACGTGTTCTGCAGTGCCCTCGCATACGAGAACGACACATGCCACGGGTTCGGTGCTTGGTTCATCGCATTCAAGTTCAGCGTCGCCTCGATCTCAGATTGCCCTCCTGATAAAAACTGCCCACGACAAAGAAACTCAATTCAAAACAAGTTTCAATGGTCTCAATTTCACTTCATTAGATAACCCGTTAAAGTTTGAACACAGAACCTCCCGCTCTGTACTGTTAATAAATTATCGCTTTAATATGTGTTAAAAAATGCCTAAGCTATCACTAAACTTAGAAAACTTAAATTGATGGGTTGAATAAATTTAATTCGTATATTGGATATCTAACAACTTGCCATGATTCCGGGAACTGCGGGAGGAATTCTTCTCTTGAGGAGAGACAAAGTGTACTCCGCAACTTTCTCGGGACTAGCTTTGTCTTTGCTCTCGGCGCCGGGAGTAACCATGCTCGGCTTCAGAAGAATTCCTTCGAACATGACATTGTTTTCTGCGAGGTAGAAGAAAACCTCTGCCCACACCTTCTGTGCAACCTCAAATGTTCTGTCGATTCCGTGGTCGCCGTCCAGCAGGATCTCCGGCTCCACAATCGGAACCAGCCCATTGTCCTGAAAAAACCGCCAAATCAAAATGGGGGTTTCTTAAAACAGCAGAAATCAAAAGATGGGTATCGATTTGTTCGAACCTGGGAGACCGCAGCGTAGCGTGCAAGGCCCCACGCGGCTTCCTTCACGGCGAGGGCTGATGGGCCATTGGGGATGCTCACCACCGTGCGCCTGCAAATCCCCATTGTTAACATTTTGAGTTTCTGAAACTGAAGAAGATGATGAATTAATGATTTGTTTATACCATTTGGCGAAACGAGCGCCCTGTTGGTAGTAAGCAGCTGCACGAGAAGCCAAGCCGTCCAGTCCTTGGCACCATGATTCGTTGTTGGAACCAGGCAGCGGCACCAACCCCTGTTTTTTTATACTCATCAGTAAACCAAACTACTCCATTTCAATCATATGGAAATTAGTTTGAACTTGCCTTGTCGACTTTGATTCCTGGAACAATGCCCTGCCTCACCAGAACGTCGACGATCTTCTCGCCGTCGACGGTGGATTGGTAGAGCGTCTCCTCGAAAAGGATAGCACCGGAGATGTACTTGCCGAGGTCCGGCGGCGTCACGAGCAGCGTCCTGTAGGCCTGACGGTTGGCCTCGGTGTTCTCCAACCCGATCGACGCCAACCGCTTCCCGCAGGTCGCATTCGACTCGTCCATCGCCAAAATTCCACGCCCGGGAGAGGCTACAGTTTTCTGCGCAAACATAAGTTCACGAGTCAAAGCTAGAATAAACTTGAAAGTTGAGGACTAAACTTATTATTATACTTACGGCAGTTTTGACCAATTCATCTGCGTAAGAGCCAGCGCGGACGGTGAGGGTGGAGGGGGCGGCGGTGGGGTGGCAGCGGACGACGGAGACGGCGGGCTGGCGGAGGGATTGGCCCTTGACCCACTCGAACTTGTCGAGAACAGGGGAGGATTTGAGTAGAGAAGCAGAGGCCATTGGTGATAGAATTGAAGGTAGAAGCTCAAACACAGTCTGTGGAGCTTAAAAATCTTATCTTTTTCCTTCCTTGTTTCTTCACCAACGCTCTGTGATCCGCCTCGTGGCCACAAATGGGAGGTCTTCTCTCTGTATTTATAGTTGCCTTGGCCCTTGGGTTTGATTAAAGATTGCCAATTTGAGGCCATAGTCCATCTCCCAATATCCCTCTGCCACGTGGATGATAACTTTGCTGACATGGCACAGCCTGCTGTTCCACATGCCAGTGCCATACTGGGCTTTGCAATATCACATCCATGGTTTTGTGGAAATGTGAGGCTCTGATTCTGTGTTTGTTGTTTGAGAGAGGGAGAGGGAGATTAATGGCTGTGGTTTAGTTAGAGGATTTGATGAGGTTTGTGATCACTATGAACAACGGTAGATAGCTTGCCACGTCATCTCTTTGGAAGAGATTTTTGTTTATGATTATGAGTTTTGCAAATTGACCTTCTTGGTGTTATTTGCTTGATGCAAAAATGTGTGGTTAATGGTACTGTGTGGATGGGAGGACTAAATTCCTTTTTTTGCAGGGGAAATTTGGGTGATTTGTATAAGCAAGTAAATGCACAGCACAAATTGTTTTACTATTGTCTGTGTTTGCAAAATTATATTATTAGATCAAGGAATGAACCAAACAATTATGTCATTTAGAAGAATATACCTTAAATTATTGATGATTACTTTCTTTATAGAGCGTGTTGGATCAGGAAATTGACCAATTTTGCAAGCGTCGGTTCGGATCGGATGAGCTGGACAGTAAGCTCCGAATGTCACATAGAAGACCTGCAAAACAGAGTGAACACTCCGATGTCAAAGTCAGTGAAAGTAAGACCTAAATCGAGAGAATCGAAATGTTCGCGTACCTCTAATCCTTCCCGACAAGGCCTCAACGGCTCTTTAAGGTTACCGTGAAATGCGGTTCCTTGACGTGGAATATGTCGGAGGCGTGTCCGAGCTGAGGTAAGCCAATCGGCTCGACCAATAACATGGGAACGCGATCATGAACAAGCTTGTTTGGCTCAACCACTGAAGGGATTCGGTTCAGTTAAACGAACAAGCCGAGATGCATACACTTAAGTGGTTTTTTCTGTAGAATCTATGAGCCACGCATCACATTTTACATCCACTCATCACCTGCCACGTATATGCTAAAATCTACCTCCAACAGAGCGCATAATCTAAAGTGAAGTATTCATTCCTTATATGAAGTTATAGATGAACTAATTGGCCGTAAGTTGAAAATAGAATCTCTCACGGATGTGAAGTGATCTTTTAGAAATGATTGCATTTCTAGTTAATTAGACATGATTTAAGCAAGTCAATAAGATTAGGTGAGTGCTCAATTTCATATTTGGCAATTCTACGGAGATCGCTTGTTTAGTTGGAGGAAGAATTCACAAACATAAACCATGTTTGATGCTTTTTTAGTGTCTTTATTGGGTCAAAGTGTACAGATCATAAACTCGTCCTTGAAGAAAAATAGATTCAAGCTGGTCGGTGAATACATGACCAAAAGAATCATAGATTTTGTGCAATTTCTATACACTTAACAACAGTATAATTTCCAATCTCATCTACTAGAAAGTGGGTCAGACGTAGCGCGTTCTTTTGTGGGACCTATGTGTAGGCTATTACAGACGCATCATTAAATACTTTACAAAGCGAGGAACCCATTGACTTTGCAAGTAGACGACTTTCCGCTTGAAAATTATACAACCACCGAATCTTCTTTATCATGATCCGACCCATACCTAAGACCCAAGATTGAGCACTAGAGCTGCTCATCTTTCATATGAAAATCATATTTTTTCCTCTACTTTCCCTCCATCCCTCCTCTTATACTCTCTTAATAAATAAATAAATAAATATATATATATATATATATATTTTGTTATTAGTTTGGTAACACATTGTGCTCAAAAAAATATTAATTAAACTATATACTTCCCTTGTTGTATATGGCCTTTTAAGTTAATTAATGTATATAGTTACATTTTTACTTACATTCTTTGTGGTAGTGAGCAAATCTGAAAATGGAGATTGACAAAAATTCTCCATGAAAACCCAATCAATCTTTAGGAAAGAATCTCCAATTTGATGCATGGATAGAAAAAACATACAACTTCTCATTCTCTTTTAATTAAGACATTGTCTAATGGCATTTATGAAGAAGTATAATTGCAGTTATTTTCAAGGCATTTATGAATCTCTACTTGCATTAAATTTGCATCCTATAAATGTGGATTTTATTCCAAGCTTTTCATTTCCAAGTTTTTTGAGCTATTGATATGCATTAATTAACATTGTAGAAGAATGACACATATTTATATGTGATGTACCTCAATTTTTCTAAATAATATTCATTTTAAACAAACCTTCATAATATAATTAAATTTAATAGAAACTCACTAAAAAGGTCTCATGTTAAATATTAGTTCCAATATTGGTCAAAAAATGGCTTAAAATTTTTTCTTCCCAAAACGACCTTAATTATAAAATGAAATTTTGATAAAAGATATTCCCAAAATTGAAAAACTAACTAAATTAAGGGAGAAAGACAATTCAAAATAAATAAAAAAAAATAATCAAAATTAAAAGTATGGGAGATAGTTGTGGAGGCCCATGGGCCAGTCCGAGATGGGTGAATGATGTGTCTTAACTAAAAAGCCTTTAGAATAATCTTTTCGCTAATGGTCGAAAATATACTACGGAACAAAAATATTTACAATTATATACGGTATGTTTAAATATTTTCTTTTTTTTTCTAGAAAAATTATTTTCAAAAATATACTCATCTGTTGTTTCATATTTTATTTCCTTACATACATCTATTTAATTGGATTGATTTTTGCAATATTTCATTTTCTTTTAAGTATGGCATGGAAACGGAGATTTCAACCCACGATCTATTGGTCAGATATCTGTTGTTGCAGGTCCTTCTCCTTCCGCTGAGACGGTCCTTTTTTTTTACCGCGGCACGAAATCATGAAAAAACTGGAATAACTCAGAAAGAGAGTGGCGCCTAGCCGTTGAGAGCGTCTGTTRTCTTTGTAGAGCAACAGTACGATCTTGGACTGGCCCCCTTCGCATGACCTAGAAAGAAAAATAAGTCCGTGCTACTATAAGGCCTCTAAACTCCTTCCTTAGGACACTGTTGCGTTGCCCATGGGGAGGGGGAAGCCCCGACTTCCATAGGTCCTTGGTTCGACCTCCTAATGAGAATTGAGGTCCTTGCGCGGGCGTCTCATCCCCAAGACTTGCTTGCTCCGTATAGAGTGCCCCGTAGTTCCTCGAGTGCCAGCCGCGGTGAGCTAGTTTGATACGTCGTATTTCACTCAACTTATATTCTTCTTCTACTTTTAATTAAAAATTAATTACATTAACCAACAGATTCAATTCTTTTGTTTTAGGATCTTTACTTTTTTCTATAAATATTTAGGCTTTTATTTCCTATCTTTCCGATTCTTATAAGTTTATCTATGGTTAGTTCAACCTCACCAGCCATGGTTAAGCCTATGTCTTTATATTTTTTAATTATTTTCCTTCTTTTTTAATTTCTTATACATCTCGTAAAATTGAAAATAGATTTTCGATTTGGATTTTTTTTGTTTTGGCGGAATCTCTAGAAAGAGAAATTTGATTACGTATTTCGTTGTAATAAAATAAAATTTAAACATATTTTTCCTATTACATAAAAACTCATTTTAGTGGGCACATACACTGTTTTACTATCCATTTAATTAGTACAAAAAATGTAGAAATATTTTACTATCCATTTGGTTTGATTGAACTTTAATATTTGAAAGAAGCGATATAGTATTGTAAATATTAAAAAATAAAAAAAGGAAGGTATACAAGTATAAATAGCCCTAAATTTTTCGTCTAAAAAGAAATTAGTTGTATTGTATGTATAAATAAAGTTTTGTATGCTTTTTTTGTACTACTGTATGATTCTTATGTTAGTTCCAATAGAAAAATCAAAAAACAATTTTTAATTAAATTTTAAATTTCCAAAGTTTTATTATTTAATGATATCTTCGTAATGATTTCGTACAGTGACCGTGAAAGCAGATTTCAGCGCTTCGAGATGCGTAATTTATAAAATGTTCAAATTAAAATAAACCAAAAAAAATCCATGAAAAAAAAGCAAAAAATTCCGTTGCCGGGAATCGAACCCGGGTCTCTCGGGTGAGAGCCGAGTATCCTAACCAACTAGACTACAACGGATGTTGAAGAACATAATACATCTAACATTTTAAATCAAATAAGGGATAAATCGGAAAAATTCGAACCACACAAAGGCTAATTATTTGAATTACACAAAATCATTCCTATATTATCATTTATTTGCAAGTAAATCATAAAAAAATCACATCAAACGACACCTGAAAAACTCAGTTGACATCAACGTTGTTCAACTGGTCAAAACATTACTTCTTTTCTTAAATTCCGTATCCCAGGACTCCCTCACGTTGCAGTAAAAAAAAAAACACTACATGGCTTTTCTTCTTTCTTTTAGAACATTTGTATGGTAAA